AGGAAAAAATTCCATATTATATATTATATATTACACATATATTTACATATATATTACATATATAATTACATATCTACATATATATAATATATATATATAATAAATGTATATTACATATACATTTCCTCCCATACAGAAGTTTGTGCCTTTAGTAAAGACAAAAGCAAACAAAAACCTCTTTTCGATGTATCAATTTAAACTTGCATTGCCTTTCAGGCACTCAGAGGCTGTCTTTGTTTTACCACAATGCCGCTTGTAGCCTGAAGAGGCGCTTTCTGATGGATGGACTGAAAGAAAGCAACTTGAGATGCTTGAATGTGGTCCACAAACAGGGCTGTGCTCTCCCGTTTTAAATCTGTTCCTGATGCACAGAATGGCAAGGCCAGGAGGAAGAGCAAGGCTTTTTTTGAATAAACAGGCCAAGTGCTCTCAAAACAATCTTCCTCTCTCCACAGTAACTTATTATATTCTCTTCCAAAGCAGAATTAGTAATCCCAACCAATGCCCAACCATAGGTAATACAGTATAATAAATAACTGTTCATTTAAAATGTCAGTTTAAATACCAAAGTCTTATTGTTCAATATTTGTTAAGCATCGTTACCAATGTGTGGCATGTCACAGGTTCCTCTTTACTGAGGATTAAAAAGTCCCATTTCACTTACCATGTGCTTTTCACCATCTACATCTCGAAAATACATTATTGTTGTTTAATTTAATCAAAGGCCACTCAGAACGTGGTGGGAGCCCAGTTCCACACCTACAGTCCATATTCAAAAAGTCTTACAGTTCAATGAGGAAGAGAAGAGTGATTTTACAAATCAACCACTAAGTTCCAAAAAAAAAGTTACCAACTTTTTTTTCATTCTTCTGGTAGGAGAGGAAGCGGGGGTGAGGTGGAGATAACGTATGTGGGCAAGAAGCCATAACTGAGATGGGATTTCGGCTAGAAGAATGTTAGTATTCTCTGGAAGGATCAAAATGTTTCTAATTTTTTAAAAAAAGATAAATTCACTGTTCTCTGAAAATGTACACTTCACAAATTAAGTCTCAGGCATGTACTTCTGTAATATCAGGCAGGACTCTGGAACTATTCTCAAGAGAATTTTCATGTTATTTATAACCCAAACTATGACTAAACCAGAGGAAATTTGGAAACAGACTCCCTAAACTTCCCACCGTATTCTCTAACAGTTGCTGGGACACATATGCTGTGAGTTGTCCATCCTATTTGTAACAGTGCTTCCTTCCTGCAGATTCACTGAAACAATACACCATAAAAAAAGGATTTACATAAAAGACAGCTGGAGCCGGTTGCCAGGGGAACTGACAATCTTCCAGACACATTCCACATTAGAGGGATAAACTTCCGGGTAGCCAGGGCTGTTGAAGCTGCCTTCAGCCATGTGGAAGTTGCCACCACAAGCTGGAAGGAAAGAGAAACACAGTGAGTGCCAGAGCCAAGATCAAATACAAGACACCACAAGATAAAGGAGGAAGAGCACTGGAGACCCTCTTAGCGGTATCAAAAGAGCGCCTATTTCTATTTCACATTAAAAAAAAAAAATCCATGTCATGTGAAATAAGAAAAAGATTCTGAAAACTGAAAAATAAAAGCCACAGGGTATGGCAGATCAGAAGAAACCTCTGTAGTTTCTTTTCTAAAAGCATTTTCTCCCTGTGAACTAGAACTTTGTGTAACAAAAGACTTGTTTTAATCTTACAACCCACTCAGTATTTCTGACCAGGATGATTTTCAACCCTGGCCTAGAATAGAAGGCAGTATTCCAGCTCTTTCCTCTCAGGAGAACACTGAAACACACACACACACACACACACACACACACACACACACACACACACACCTTCTAGGTGTTGTAAAGCTTCTAAATGCTAATAACAAGGAAGCTGGCAGATGATAAACAGCGCTTTGCTGGCTAAGAGGCCTGGTACTAGGTGGATCCATTTTCCCCTTCTGCCCACCTGCCACCATCCACCTAGCCATCAATGACAACACCCGGATCCTGCCTGAGCCCAACTGCAAGGCCAGAGAGGCTGGAGAACAGCAGTTGTCCATCCATAAGAGATGTCATCAGATGTTGCCAATCGGGGGCTGCTTTAACGAACATGATGTGGAGGAGAACACCAACACACAGCCATCCAAGATCCTTCCAACCAATTCTCCCCACTTCCAGAGTTCACTATTAGCAGCTTTAGCCCCAATAACCAAGGTATGGAAACTCCCCAAGTGTCCATGGGTGGATGAATAATAGATAAGAAGATGTACATGATTCAGTACTGCTAGAATTTACAAGTATGTTAACCTTATATGGATGAATGTACGGTTAGTCACAGGGGTGATCTCAGGAAACTAGCTTCCAACTCTAAAGGTAAGACTCTCAAATAACAAACCAAGGATTTGGACCACATTCCTCGGAACCAGGTAGCGTCATTTGCTAACGTGTTCTTACCTGAGGATGATGCGGCAAATGTAGCATGGAAACCATCAAAATTCCCACCAGAATCAGAGATGAACCTCAGCGTCAGAGCATTGCTGAAGGAAGTGATGGGATGGGGCATGGTAGTACCACAGTAGCGGCCTAAACAAAGAAAAGAACGACAAGGAGAATGGACGATGACATGGCATAGGCCACTATTTCTAACAAACATGTATCACGTGAACACACAAGAACCCAAGCGAACAGAAGAAATCACTATTAGGAGAAACCTTTGAGTCAGGGTCAGTGTTGGAGACAATACCTGAGAATTAAAAGTACACTATAAATACAAGCACAGGGGAGATGATTTATAAACATTAGGAGACAAGAAAAACGTAGGTGACCTGGCTCCAAATGTAACTAATGCTGAAACCTCTAGCACAGTAGGAACCCACACAAATAAACATACCAATGCTTAAAAGCAAAATACTGTAGCAGAGAAAAGTGTGGATGCTAGAACCAGAATACCTGGATGCAACTCCTAGCTCTGCCATTTACCAGCTACGTGACCTGGGCAAGGTACTTAAGTTCTCCGTGCCTCAGTTTCCCCACTTGAGAAATAAGAATATCAGTAATCATAAGGGTATGAAGATTAATTTACTATTTACTAAATTCTTAGAATACTACTCAATACAAGGCGAGGTCTATGTAAGTGTTTATTAAATAATATACCCTCATCTCAGTCAAATGCTTACAGATAAAAATCACAAGCATATTCCACTATTGTCTCAGGCACTGTGCTGGGCACTAGGAATAAAGCAATGATCAAAACAAAGTCCCTCCTCTAGAGAGCTCGTCTTCTAGTGCAGGAAGAGCCACTTAAACACCAGGGATTCACTGAGGATGTTTAAATAACCTGAGATTAGTTTGCTTGTGGACGTTTCAGAAATCAGATAGCAGCAATGTTTAGTTGGACTGAGATGTCTTACAAACCAAATTCCAGATTATTTATCTATTTATGACAATTTTTTTTTTTTTTTTTTTGCTTTTACTGAGGTCAAAACCAGTGGGGCAGAAAAAAAACTATGCTCAATGTGAATATCAGAACTGTGGTCAAATATTAACATGAAATTTCTCACAGAATGTTATCAAACACTGGGGGTAGACTGCATTTCACTACTATCTAAAGCAGTTGCAACTTTTAAAATTAAAAAAAAACAAAAACAAACAAACAACTATTCAAATCCTTGTGTATGAACAAGATGAGATTCTTGAACCTCGCACGTTAAATCCTGCTTTCTTACCCCCTAATTATCTCGATTTGGCTTCTGCTGCTCTTCGTGTTTACTGGAAACATTCTAACCTTGAATGACAGAGTACACCTATGTAAGACTATAAATAAAGTGCAGCCCAGGCCACAGATGGACGAGTGAACACCACAGTACCTCGCAGGGGCGCGTCATCATAACCACCATCCAAAATTTCTAAGAAGTCTTCGGTACATGTTGTGCTGCTTTCCAGTTCAAAGTGGGTAAAGGAGAGGGTAATATGATTGACTGTAAGAAAAAAGAGAAGGCCATTTAATAAAGCACTGGCAACCAAACATGCACGGAGAGAAATTCTACCTCTGACAATTTCACCTGTGGGGTCACCATGGAAGAAACGATTTGGTAGATTTGTACAGAGGTTAAATGGATGAAGATAGAAAGGGACCACCACTCTGCTAAAAGGTTTCCTCTGACACGTGACAGAATCGATGTTTTTGAATAAGCCTACAGAATCTGAAATGCAAGTAAAGAAGAGGACTCCTGGGCAGGTACACTCCATGGCCTGTGGGGAACGGCCTGTTGGAATACGTAATCTTGACACATTTGTGTATCAGCCACTGCTGTGTTCGTCTCCTAAGTATTTTTCTCAAGAGAACAAGTCCCTTAAATCCTAATTCTTTATGTGTGCTTGGAAATAAGACTCTCTTTTCTCCAGGGCACATATATCCTAGCACCGCCAGTTTAACTTTAAGGCTGCTGCCAGGGCCCTGAAGGTTCAGAGTCATTTATTTATAAAGAAAGCTTTGGATTCCTTGCAGAACACCAAGTGCCTGGATATGGTTTTCTTTTGTTGTTGTGCCAGGGGCCCTAGTATTCAGAAGAGGATCTTTTCTTGTTGCTATCTTTGAACCAGCGAGATCTTTCACCTAAATGCTTTACAACTCATTAGAGATTGTCCTTAAGTTGCAGAACTGCTCTGCTCAAGGCAGAGGGTCTCTTTATCTAAGGTTCAGTTTCTGGCGGGCTGGCAACCTTCTTTGGGGTTCCATGCTCCCAGGTTGCAATTGGCTAAAGGTTACATCACCAACCTCCAAATCATATGCGTGCCAGGGAAGATATCTGTTTGTTAACTCGTAACATCCCTAGGAAACGTGTTAGAGAATATCAAAGCCAAGCTCTTCATTTTTCAGATTAGCTAAGGGGGCTTCATTAGCTTAAGTGACTTGCCTATTGTCACACAGGTCATTAATTATAGAGTGGAGTTGAGAACTTAATGCCTTTCCCACATTATGTCTGAAATCATGAATTCTTTCTGAAAACCTCAAGGAAGGGCAGGGCTCATCCGAAACAAGATCCATAAGGACACTCCTTGCGGTCACTTTGCTTGAGTCCTTAAGAGTCTCCTCATTTTCTTGGTGTGTAAAATGTGGACAGTAATTCTCACCACCCGATTGCTACCAGGTCAGAAAATAAGATTCTAGGATTCCAAAAACAAAATAACGCAAGCACTGATTAAATGTTTCTTCCAGGCCTATGCTGGGACTTTTTATTTTTAATACATGCATTGCAGGAGAGACTGGCTTTTATAATTAGCTTCTGCTTTGATGAAAGACCAATAAGCTCATGGCATTGCATTCCCAAACTATGAGTTATTAATTTTCCAGTTTATGGTTCTTATTCTTTATTTATTCATTTAGCAACTGCCTTGTGCATCAACTACACTCAAGGCACACGTGTGAAAAACTACTATTTATCAATTATTTTTAATTACCCCAATCTCACATGCCTGTCAATAGAGCAAGGTTATAGGTTTTTGTTTTGTTTTTTTCTTTGCTAGGCCTTGAGATTTCAAACAAATTTTAAATTAAGAATAAAAAGTACTTTGCTATCAGATTAGGAAATGCTTGTTCTCGTGCACCTCAGGAATTGGGACTTCCGAAAAGGAAGATGAAGGCCATTCATTGTTACCACTGAGAAAATAAGAACATTATTAGTCATAGAAGGTCTTTCCCACAGACACCATCCATCCTAGAGTCCTTCTCTTTTTTTCTCTTTGTTACTTACATGGAGGCTGAGCTTGAATGATCCAGCTGCAGTTCTGATTGTTTGGATACTTTTCAGGGAACAATGGAGAGGATATCGTACCAAATGAGTCAGTGAGGATGTGGCCTCCACAGGCTGAGGAACACATAGACACACACACATGTCATTGACTTTTGATTTCCACTGGCTGTGCAAAGCAATTACTTGATGAATGAAAACCTGAGTTTTCCTTATTTCTGACACGCAGACCAAGGAAGTACTTTGCCAAAGAAGCTGCACATAAACCATGAGAGAATGGGAACACACTGTACATTTATAACAATATTCTTCAATTACAGGAAGTGGGGGGTCACATAAAACAACAGATTAAATGGCTATGAATTGCCTGAATCACTCAAACAGAACTCTGGCATTGATTCACTTACTCTGCCTACTCATAAATTATAGGTATAGAAATAATATCTTTATGGATTTCTCTTTCTAGGAAAATCAATACGCAATTGAAGAAGACTTCATAAGGATTATCAGAGAGGCACAAAGCTCTGTGGGAGTACAGGAGAAGGACAGCCTGTTGCCAGTGAGTGTAAGAGGCGTCTCGAGGAGGAGACAGTGGCTGAAGGAGGGAACTGGGGGTGCGGAAGAGCAGGCCAGCAGGAAGGCAGCCTGAGCAAAACACAGAGGAGGGCAAGAACTGCATCTACCCAGACTCGGCTGAAGCACGAGGCACTTGGGAACATCAGAGGTGACGCTGGAAAAAAGATCAGGGCAGGTTTCTGGGCCCTTGGGTAACATCTGGAGGACCTTGGGCTCCATTCCCTAGGCAGCACGGTGCCAGGACAGATGTTGGCACCCTCAAGAGCATGACCAGAGCAGGGTTTCTGCGAGTTGACTTTGAAGGAGATGGAGAAAGGGTGGGTGAGATTGAGGTGGCTGTTATAAGTCCAAGAGAAAACCTACTAGGGACATTGTTTTGTTTTGTTTTTTACTCTGAAGCAAAGCATAAGTGATTAACTGAGAAAAAAAAATGGGTGAAGAAACTGTTCTATCTTTGAAAGCACAAAGAGTGATTGATGCATGTAGTCTGTTTTGCTCCAGATTGTACAGTGTGTCTTCAGGAGACCTCAATCCAGAAGCTATCCCTGGCCAGGCTCTTTGTTATAGAATATAAGCAAAGGCCCTGAAACAGACTATATGACTAAACAGACTAAAATTATTTGAAATGACAAGGATCATCTGAATAAAAATCAGAGGCACATCGAAGTGGACCGATAACCTGGGTTCCATCTCTGACAGTGAGATAGAGGGTAAATCTCTCAGAATGACCAGATAAAAGGCAGTGGGTGAAAAGGTGTAGTAAGGAGAACTGAACAGTGATGATTTAAGAAAACAATGGCAAACAACATTGGTTCTTCAGGTTGACTGCTGCAGGATTCAGAAATGCCTTGAGGATTCCAATATGACTACATTCCAAGAAAGTCTTGTAATTTATAGTGTAAGACCTTGGATAAATGCTAGGTGACTTATTATGGATGAATGAATTTGGACTTTTTTTTATCATATCTCTAAGAGTAAAGCTACCTTTAAGTATTATTCTGAAAACATGTTTGAGAGCTACAGAGATCCAAAGGAAGTTTGCACCCTCGAAGTTTGACAAGGGTACATTGAAAGGATCAACAACTGGAAGAATTGCAAATCATAGTGTTTTTGGTTCTATTCCAATTGCTGAGGAAGTACAAAGTTGGGATCAATTTCTAAGGGCCAGTCGCATTTTATGACAGCGCCAAGAGGGGCACTTCAGAGCAGATGGCCTGGGCCTCGGGGAGGCCCGCGTGGTACTTGCCTTGCCTGAAATGAGCTCGGAAGCCCCGGTTCTGTCTGGAAGAGCCAGACTGAAATCGCACAAAAAGGCTGTTTCCTGAAGAGATGATGGGGTTACTGGGCTGCTGTCTTCCACACACACCAGCAAGGCGGGTAGTGGCAGAGCTGAAACCATCATATGCCTACAAAGAAAGACAACAGGGAAAATAATGGGTCAGAACTTCATCCTTACATCTAGGAGGCCCACATCCCACGGACTATCTGCACGCTGGTGAGCTAGTAGAAAACAACACATTTGCTGGATCTAGTGCTTTATTTTGTGGTCGTCTCACACAGTTCCATGGGAGTGTCTGAGTCCTGGGCTATTTCTAGGGATACTCTAGGGATCCACTAGGAGGGCCTCTTTCCAAAACCACTATTAGTCCTCTGGATGTCTTTATAAATGCCATTGCTTTAATAGCCCTCCACCACCCCTAACTCCAGGGCAGTCACATCATGGGCCACACCCACAACATGTGCTGAAAATGTCTGAGGCAAGAATAAATACAGGAGCAAAAGGGTGAAAACACAATGATGAGTAACCATTCATTTTCAGAAACCCAACAGTTGCTGTCACTATTTGTTCTTCATAGGGCCATGGTAAAGAAGAAAGAGACATGGCAGAACTCCTTCAAATGATATAGTGATGTAAGTCTGGTTTAGAAAATTACCTCATAAAATTAAGAAAATATATTGGGCTCTGTCTGCCCCAGTGCCGTGCTGGGACAAGGTGACCTCCCATACTTACCAAGGGACTAGAGTTTACGTTACACGCACCTAACAGTACTGTATTGTTTGTGAAATTCAAGCTTGCTCATTTCCTTGGAACTCTGGGTGTCTGGTATGAATTTTTAAATTCTCTTATGTGTAAAGCAGGGGTATATGAGTTATTTTTCTTTGGGTGATAATAATAATAGCAACCACTCATTAAGTGCTTACTATGAGCCAGGAACTGGAGTCAGCCCTTCATGTACACTAGCTCATTTTCTCCTCCCAACAAACACTCCATTTTTAACAAGAGGACAACTGATGCAAAAGAGCATAAGTAATGTGGCCAAGCCACACAATTCCTAAGAGGGAGGTCATGATGAAGCAGACAGTTAGATTCTAGAGTACACAGTTGAAATGCTCATGGTGTCCAATGCACAATATCAATTATGTAGGATAGACATGTCAACGGGCCCATCACCAGAGTGGGATTAAGCTATGAAATTAAAATATGGCTGTTTCATTCCAAATAAACTTTCATTTATATATAATAAGAAAGTCTTGGGAAAAAATTAAAAGTTCGGGTATTTAATGCAAGGGAGGTACACACTAATGACTTTAAATATCTAGTGATGATCATAATCAGTGTTCTCTTTACCACGTAAGTGTGACTGGGAGGCTATTCTCAGTTTTATATAGTATATAAGTACATGAATCAAAGATTAATAGAATTTTTAGCTCTCTCACGAGGGGGCTAAAGATTTCACAATAATGAATTTTAAATACATGTGGTTGTGGAGCAGGAATTATTTCCTTTCTGTTTCCTTTTTTTTTCACTTAATGTTCAAATTTTAAACTTATATATCCAATAAATAAAACATTAAAACTGAATTTTATTGAACATTTAGAGACGAATTAAAAACTAAATTACATTTTATTCACCAATTCAAAATATAGTTTTCAATCTAGTATGACTGCTTCTTTTGAACACTCCGGACACCTTAAATAGTAGCCAAAATAACATATAAATCATCATCACAAAACCTCTTACTACATTTATACTTCAATCTGCTCTCAAATATTATCATCATTGGTTCAATTCAAGACTTTATCATCTCTATACTTGGTTTTCTACTTTCCTAAGGTGAAATCTATAACAACCTAGATTTCAGTAATGTTATATTAATACTATCTTGCTTTATTTAGAGAATATCTTCTAGAACGTCTGGTTTACAGGGTTTGGGAAATATATCAACTGATTCTTGGTCAAGACTACTTGCTTTTCTTAATTTGTTTGTTTGTTTGTTTATAACAGCATTTCTCAAACTCTAGTGGAACACTGGAGTTCTGTGAGGTACTGTATTTCCCCATGTTAAGACGCATCTTAATTTTGGGGCCCAAAATTTGAAAAAAAATGTATTACATAAAGTGACTGAACTCAAGTTTTATTCGTCATAAAATTCATACAACTCCTCATCACTGTCAAAACTCCCAACCATTAGCTTGTCCTCATCTGTGTCTGATGACGAAACACTGTCTTAATATATTGCCTCGTCCTCAGTTCCATCTATGGCATTTGAAATCTATACCCATGTATAAGACGCACCCTGTTTTTAGACCCCAAACTTTTCAAAAAAGGGTGTGTCTTATACATGGGGAAATATGGTATACAGACACCCTCACCAAAGAATAACTACAACACATTCATTCAGAGGATTTTTTACAAGTCCATGAACTTACAAAGGCAACACTTTTCTAGTATCCTTTATTTTTCCCCAAATTCAGAGGTCTAGTGAGTAAATAGATATTGTTTCTTGCCTTTATAAATTCTCTTTTTATCTCTGAATGGTGGCAATCCTCGTAAGGAAAAAAAAAGTAAGGTAGAAAGTTAAGGCTAGAAACTTAAGAAAGTCACATGAATGAGCCATTGCCCTGGGGATCCTTTGAGAGGCACATCTTCTATGGGGGTCTACGTGTTTCCCAGACCTCCGGCCACCAGAGACCCGGGAATTACAGGACCTCTGTGAAATTCATATGGCTGAAACATTGCTTCCCAAGGAATGGATCCAATGTAGGTTTCCGAATGCCCCTGAATCCGAAGTATATACCAATGGCACCCTAAATTTGATTAACAACTGTACAAACGCTATCACACACATCCTAACCTAGTCCTCAACACCACGTGATTTTTTTAATGAAGAAAGTTAGACTCAACAAATATGTTAGCTATTCAAGTATTGTCTCATCCAATGGGCACTAGTGACAATGGAAGCTAGTGATCCAAGATCATACAGCTAGTGAATAGCAAAGTCAGGAACACAATTCTTCTCTCTCCAAATTCTACATTATATATTTTACTTTTTAAAATGCTTGTGAGAATTATTAAGTTGCATGTATGGAATTTTTAGTGTATGAAAGTATAACCTCTCAGGTTATCAAGGAGACAGTTGATTTATTTTTTTTTTAAATTTGGAATAGTAATTCTTTTATTTGAGAGTGTTCTTAACTCTCAAGTTCTTAACTTGTAATATCAAATTAATTTAAGTTTTAATTTTAAAAGTATGAGAAAAAATGCAAGGAAAAAAATATGAGAAACCTTGTTCCTATTTATTTAAAGAGGCCTATGGTCAGAATTCTAGGGACCAACAATTTGAGAAAATAAAGGACCAAGCAAAGCAATCCTTTTGCCTTCCCATCCACTTAATGATGATAGAAATATGTATTATTTAACAGTATGCATTATTTAGAAGCTGGTGCCAGAATCCCTTTGAGAGAGAAAAAACAGTCTTTATTTAGCAAACCACCTCACAGGTTCTCAGAGAATAGCTGTGAAAGGAAAGAGATTATGTTATATGACTGTGGACAAGTTCTTGTTCTCTCTATCCCTCAGCTTCCTAATCTGTAGAAGGGATTGACATGAATACATAGCTCATATTGGTCATCATAATGAAATGAGTTAAAGATAGAAAGATAGAAAGTACTTAGGATAGTTCCTGGCACACAGTAAGTACTTAATAGATAGATATTAGCCTCGATGATTAAAGTCAGACAGAGGGATAACTAAATTGCTGTTTAAGAAATGAGTCAGGTTTCGGAGGGAGGGAACTAGAGAACTATCAAAGCAAAAACAAAAAGAACTCCAAGGGTGGGCATCTTCCAGCAATGTACGATGAGGTGGGAACGTGAGTAGGACACACAACACATGTAAATTACCCAAGTGGGACTGTGGGGGTGGCAACCTCTGACCTGACTCCAATGAGCCAGGCCCTTGTGTAATCTCCTGGAGTATGGCATGGACCTCATGACTTGCTTGTAATACATAGATTACAGCCAAAGTAACTGGATGTCACTTCCATGATTAGGTTGTGATAGATGGACTCTTCCATCTTCCTAGCACTCTCCCTCTTGTTGGCACTCTAGTTTGCACTCTGTTTTGCTACCTCTGAGGAAGCAAGTTCTGTGCTATGAGATACTCTGTACAGAGGTCTTCATGGCAAGGAGCTGAGAGGGGCCTCTAGCCAATGGTCTGTAAGAAATCCAGTCCTTCCAACAACCATGTGAGTGAGCTAGGAAAGGCCCAGGTAAGCCACACCTGGGTTCCTGACCCAGAAACTGGAAATACTGTTGTTTTAAGCCATTAAGTTTTGGGATAATTTGCTATGAAGCAATAGAGAACTATCACATGGGGAGTGAAACAAGGAATTGAGGAAGGAATGTGCCATGGATTTTTAAGGACAAGGAAGTCTAACATCACATTTTAATTCAACTGCTACACTGCTTTTTGCAGGAATCGCCTGCCAGCGCTTAAACTATTTAGTCAAAGTCTACTGCACCAATGAGGCTCAAGCGTGTGGTATTTTGGATAAATAAAAAAAAGAGGTCCAAATTCCAACTTTCTCTTAACAAGGGGTAGAGAAAAAGGGAAAAGAACCATAAGAAGAAGTAAGAGACAGAAGGCTTGAATTTTAACAGTGGCAAGAAATGGACACCTGGGTGAGCACCTCCTCTCTGTGCCCTCACTTCTCCACACAGGTGTAAAGGAAATAAGTCCTGGGGTATAATGGACGGCACAGGGGGTAGAGTCCACAACACTGGGATTACTTTCTACAATGACAGACGGTTACTAGACTTATTGCGGTTATCATATGATAAGGTATAAAACATAAAATCACTATGTTGTACACCTGAAACTAATATAACATTGTATGTCAAGTATACTTTAATAAAAAAAAATAGCCATGGAAATCATAAACCCAAATTCTCCTAAGTGGCTTCCTCTGGGATAGGGTCAGGGAATGATATCAGTGTGGGCCACGCATGGGACTATACCATCTCTTCAGCGATTTATTTCTTCTGAGGAAAAAAAAACAAACTTCAAGCAAATATGGCAAAATATTAAGATGTGGCAAGTCTGGACAGTGAAATGTTTTTGGTC